TAGCTCCAACTTAACTAAACATTTAACTAGAGCTAATATTAGCTTAGCTCCAACTTAACTAAACATTTAACTAGAACTAACATTAGCTTAGCTCCAACTTAACTAAACATTTAGCTAGAAGCTAATATTAGCTTAGCTCCAACTTAACCAAAAATGTAGCTAGAGTTAATATTAGCTTAGCTCCAACTTAACCAAACATGTAGCTATAGCTAATATTAGCTTAGCTCCAACTTAACCAAACATGTAGCTAGAGCTAATATTAGCTTAGCTCCAACTTAACTAAACATTTAGCTAGAGCTAATATTAGCTTAGCTCCAACTTAACTAAACATTTAACTAGAGCTAATATTAGCTTAGCTCCAACTCAACCAAACATTTAACTAGAGTTAATATTAGCTTAGCTCCAACTTAACTAAACATTTAGCTAGAGCTAATATTAGCTTAGTTCCAATAATTAAGTTAAATATTTAGTTGGAACTATTAGTCTAGGCAGCCAATCATCTGCCAGCAGAGACGCAGGTAAATGAAAGCTGCCAGCTGAACTTTGACCCACCTTGGTGACGACCGTGTGGTGCGTCCCGTGACTGGCTGGCGTGCTGGTGACCTGCACATACAGGTAGTCGTTGTCGATGAGAGGCCACGCCCCCTGCACCGCACAGGTGTGGAAGTCGTCGCTGAAGGTTCGGATGTGCGGGTCTCCGAACACGCTGCAGTGCCGGTACTCCGGCGCCCGGCCCTCCCTGATGATGAAGCTCCGCTCGTAGAGGCAGGCGTCCCCCGACACGGCGCCCTGTGGGCGGGGCCAGGGCCGGGCCGTGGGCCCCGCCCGCGGGCAGCGGTGCTGGATCAGCAGGTCCTCGATGCCCTGCACTGCTGAGTGGTAGGCCAGGTCTCCGCGGCACGGCCGCGCCATCCGCTTGGTGCACAGGCTGTAGGAGCGCAGCGCACTGCAGTACGCCGAGTCGCTGCTGAGCGCCGCGTCGCCACCGCCGCTCAGGTGGACGGTCGCAGCAACAAACTCAGAGTTACACCTCAGGATCCGACAGGAAGCTCCCACTGAGGAGAGAAGGCTTCATATGGTCATAAAGTCTGGTTTTAATCTGGGCTTTTATTTTGAAAACGATGCTGGAAACAAATCCACCGTTTTCATAAATAAAGATTCAGACCGGCAGAGCCTGGTAGAAGTGTGTTTATTTATTCAGCTGTCTGACTGTAGAGTGATCCAAACGTTTCCAATGTGCCTGAATTTGTTGCTCGTTTCGTTCTTGGAAAAACAAATTGCTAGATTTTTGGCTAGTTATTATTTTAGAAAAACATTTATTTTTGTTTCGTCTCTTTTATTTAAAGAAAAAGTAGCTAATTTGTCAGTACTCACTTTTTTTAACATAAAGTGGCTAAATATGTCGCTAGTCGCTTTTTAAAAATGTCACCAGATTTACTGTCGTTAGTTATGTTTTGGAAAAAAAAAGTAGCTAGATTTTTTGCAATTTGCTTTTTTTAACGAAAAATTGCTAAATTTATCAGTGGTCCTGTTTTTGCAAAGTCAGCAGATTTGCTTTTTATAGAGAGAAAACTGTTTCTATATAATCATTAAGTTGGCTGCTGTCCTTTCTCTTGTCCATGGCCACGCCCCTTCCAACAACCTCCAATTGTTGGAAGGGGCGTGGCCATGGACAAGCGAAAGGACAGCAGCCAACTTAATGATTATTTAGAAACAGTGGGAAGCAGCGCGGCGCAATGAGCCTCCGCGGCGCCGGCGGCCTGCGGCGGCGGGCGCAGCGCGTCCACCCTGTGGGAGGCAGGGCAGCCCCACACGCACAGCTGCAGGTCGTGGTCCGGGTGGAAGGCCTCCAGGACGCCGCGGGGCGAGCGGACGGACAGGCCGAGCGAGCGGCCGCTCTGCCGCACCACCAACAGCGTACCGATGTACGCCGCCCGGATCTCGGCGTGCCGGCCGGGACTGTCGGTCCGCACCGTCAGGACGCGGCGGCCCCGTCGCTCGCCGCTCCACTGGGTTCGCCGCCAGTTGTGGCCACGCCCCTTCCAACAACCTCCAATCATACCCAGACGTGGCCACCCCCCCTCCGTGTCTCTTGGCTCCGCCCACTTTCGTGGCGTTACTCTAAATTTGGGGGCGGGCCTTTACTTTCACAGGGTTAAGTTGCACTTTAAAAATGATCTCAAAGTGATGCAACAGTTTTAGCCTGTGGAAATTTCCCAGTGAGTTTCTGACTTTGTACCTTCAGGTAAACGCAGCTGGACCAGCAGCAGAGTCAGGTGGATGCAATGTTTCCATGGCAACCGCGTCTCCATCGGTAGCAACCAGCGGCCTGAGAGATGACAGAGGTCACAGAAGGTCACACATTCAGCTGTTGGAGACCCTCTGGTCATGAGAGGAGCTCGTTTCCATGGAGACGCTGATGGATTTATGGGATGGAATAAATCATGCCATAGTTGATTTACTAGTGATGAGTATCAACATCACTATATGTTGCTCAGTCATCTACTGGGTAAATCTAATTCCTCTGAACTGATCAGTGTCATGAGACCCAGTTCTGTTTGGTCCACCGTATCTCAACCACCAAAACCACCAGAACCATCATCAGAGTCCAACTGGGTCACAGGAACTGGACTTTTCCCAACCCGGTTTAACTCTGAGGATTTTCCAAACTGTGATGTTGGTTCTAACCTGGTGAATTATCCAGGACCTTTCGGATTTAACCGGTTTCTCCATCCTAACTTAGACCTTCCTGCCTTCCACTGCTGGAGTACTTCCTGTTTTCCATCCAATCAGAGAGCAAAGAGACACGCCCACTCTGTCATCCTCTCCCATCAGATCTCAGCTCTGATTGGTTCTGGAGAAATCGGACCTGGCGGTTCTGTTCAACCGGTAAGAAAATACTGCAGAAAGTGACTATTGGTGGAGTGATGCTGTGGGTCCTTCTTCCTCCCCCTTAAGGAGTCACCATGGCAACCAGTGGCTCAGTGTCACTGGGAAAACGTGGCTCAGCTGGGAGTCGCGTTTTTCCAGCCGAGTCGTTTCCCGTCAGTTTCCATGGTCTAGATCAGGTAAAAAACGCTGGAATGAAATGGCTTAATGACCCTCATTGTGTAGGTCAGGTCTCCAGAGCCTTGATAATGACAGTTATTCCATTCAGGTGGTGCAGCAGAGATGCATCTAAACGCTGCAGGGCAGCGACCCTCAGGACTGGAGTTTGACACCTGTGGCCTAGAGGAATTGAGTCTGTGAGCCGAGTCAGAACCAGAACCAGCTGCTGGTTTGGAGCACAGAGGAGATTAATCTTCCAAAAAGAAAAATCGGTGCCAAAAAGTTTGTAAAAAAAAAAAAAAAAAAAAAACTTTTTAAATTTATTTTTTTTTTGTTCAGATTTCAAAATTTTTTTTTTTGTTTCCTTTCAAGAAAATTTATT